AGTTACCCCATTTACCATTTACAATTTGAAAGGACTTCCTGACAGGACACAGATGTTGCCAGGACAATGGAAGGAGTGCGGCAGCGCAAGTGCAAGAGAGATGGATAGCTCAACTCGCGCTGTAATTAACATTAATTTCGTATAAACTTTGGCACATTGCGTATACGACGCGTATGTCGGTGGGTCTGTCGGTCGGTCGGTCTGTTAGTCCGTGTATTGCCTTTTCAATTGTCTGTCAGTGACAGGAATATCATCATAAGACACGGCGCATTGAGAGAAATAAGAAGTTACCAGGAGAGGTACTAGGAGGTTGTTACTAAGGTAATAGAAGAATATAGAAGAGAATAAAGTTATAGGAGTGTAAAGGTTATTTTTTATAGATTTTTCATATAGATTTTTTACATTTTTTGTACTTTTATGATATGAAAAAAATTCTTGATTTAAGGTCATATTTTATGATGTGACTTGTAGGTTTGGCTTTAGAGAGCTGTGAATGAATACTGAAATAATTATTTTAAGTACTGTATAATGGGAGTAATGTATATAATGGGGGTAATACATAATATATGGATTATTAAAATAATAAGTATTATAGGTATAACAGGTATAATGGGTATAATAAGCATATTAAGACGAATATTTATAAGAAATACCCAACACAAGACAAAGAAAAGAAATAATAAGCTTATAGTGATGTTATTGCACTTACCCTTATAATACCCGGTACTTCTTTTTTGATCTACTAACATATGTGCATATGTAGGTACTACTATATCATACTATTTGAAGTCTATAAGACTATCTATTATGAATAAAATCTTAAAATCCTTAAATATTACTAAAGGCTTAAGAACTGTAAAGATGATAAAGATCATGATACAATATATACTCCTATACAATATTACATATCTCTATGTAGTCTACTACTCTAAAAATAAAATTCTTTTTAGGATGAAATCTGATATAATATCTTTGAAGGAACAGAGCTTATATCATTTACCAAGCACTAAACACCCTTATAACTCCAACTTGCTCACCAGGGAAAGTTTATTTCAAAAGATTCCCAACTACCCTATCGAAATACAATCCCTGCTGAAAATTCACTTACCGCCACATATTTTTTTTCAGTGCTTAACTAGTAGTGCTAGTGAAATGTCGTTGTGCACAAATTAACTGCTAGAACAATTGTTTTACACATCGTTCTCTGAATAGTGTTGTTGTTAAGCGAAGACGAAGACGTGGGATGTGATGTGAGGCTGTGGAAAATGTGAAAACTGTGGAAAATGGGATTGGGAATGAGAATGAGAATGGGCATCTTTATGTTTGCTTTAGCCAGGCTCGGCAGCCAGAAAGACAATGAGGCAGAGGCTGAGGCAGGAGCCCGAGAAGGCTATAACATTTTACCATTTTCATGAAGGAGTTTATGGAGCTTTATCCTGGCAGCTGAGCTATCACTTAACCCTTGGCTGGCTGGCAGAGGCTGGAGAAGGAGGAGATTGCCTCAATTAGCCGCCACTTGAGATCCATTGCTTGTTTGTATTTTCACGCCAACACAACACTTTTATCTAATGGCCTTTCTTCTCTCTTTTCTTTGCAGGTAAGCCAAAACACCTCCGGCCAAATGTTAATTGGTTAATCACGGAGATGCAAACATAAACACACACACACTCGGCGAGAGGGTAAGCAACGACTGTGATTGTATCTTTAAGATGTCAACAAATCCTCAGCTGCAGATACAGATAGAGATACAGCTCTACAGCTACATCTACAGATAGAAGATACTGAAGAGGAAAGGGAATTTGCTTTTGCTTTTGCTTTTGCTTTTCCTTTGGCTTTGGCTCTGGCTCTGTCTTGTTTGTTATTTGCGGTTCGTTGCATTGTCAACTGACGATTGCAGCTCAAAAAGCAAAACAGCTGGGGGGGTTTTGGGGAGCAGGACTAGAGGATCTTGAGCCAGGGGGTTGGGGGATGAGTCCTCAAACTAATAAGTAAAAGCCAAGTTAAAAGGAAGAAAGTCGTAAACAAATGGCGCATGCACGTGACTCAACCGCTACTTTTTTATTACAAAGGCTGATGCAGGGAGTTTGCTAAAGGGGGGAAAACTACTAGGAGATTTCTAAAATTTATATTCAAAATTTAATAGATTTTAGTTTTTAAAAAGGGGTTTTGTTAGATATCTTGAAGAATATTGGTACGAAAGAGGTATACGTTAGAATGCTACGATAGTTGTAAATGATAATAGGATAATATTGGATAGAAGTATACGATAGTACTATTTTATGAAGAAGTATATGATAGTACAATACGATGGATGAATATGCGATATAATTATACTATAATAAAAAACGATAGAAATAAAGGATAGAATTCAAAGAGAGTCTTCTACAATAGTGCTTCTTTTGATAGAAGTAAACAATAGTTATATACGATAGAGGTAGAAAACGGAACTAACAAAAAGATTATACTATATACATATATGAACTTTACGAAAGATGTCTACGAAAGAAGTATACGATAGAACTCTTCAACAGCGCCATATGATGGAAAGTTATAACAGAAATATACGATAAAAGTATACGATAACAGCACATGAGTCTAGGTACAGTACAGTATTATAGTCTAATAATTACATCAATATACGATAGAAGAGTGGGATAGAAGATAAACGGATAAAAGTATATGATAATAGTGATATATATAATGAAAGTATGCGATAGATGTTTATGCCATATTAAAGATGAAAGTAGACGATAGAAGCATATGATGGAACTATAATATAAAAAAGGGATACGATAAAAGTAAACGGTAGTGTGTGAGAAAAGTATAGAAAGTATAGAACAATGTAACTATGAACTATATAAAACAAGTCTTCGGAAGTCTTCTAAAGTGAAAGTATTATATTTACAGCCTCAAATGCTATGATAGTTACTCTACATTAAAGTATATGAGAAAAGTATGGTATACGATAGATATATACGATAGAAATACAAGAAAGAGCTATGCGGTGAAAGAAAACGATAGAAGTATGTGTATGAAAGAAGAATATGATGGAGCATCCAATAAATTATACGATGAAAATATTCTATGAAAGTATACGATAGTAGTATACGATGAAAAAATACCATACAAATAAACGATAGAAATATACATATATGTATATTATATATAATAGAAGTAAGGTTTGGAACGAAATTCTTGTGGTAGAACCATACTATGTATACAAGGGACTACTACTACTAGACTACTATACTAAGTGGTAAAAATATACGATAGTTTTATGACTTGGGAAATAATAAATATAAGAATAAGACAATAATCAATACTTTTGAGCCTTTGATAGATGCTTTAAAAACTATATACATAAATGTTTTAATTACAATAAAATAAAATCACAAAACTATTTAATTATAAAGTTAAAAAACCTCCATCAAAAACACAAAACTCCCCTTTTTTTTAAAAGAACTTCCATCATGGAACGCACTGTATCGTGTTGGCGGCACTCGCCATTGTAGTTTTCCAAACCAAAGGACTTGTAGGCGGGATGCTTAGGGAGGCGTGGCCGCAGGGAGTTTCTTTGGCTCCCTCGCTTCACCCTTTTCTGCCTTCTTTATTTTCCGCCATTTCTCATTCATTCTATTCTCCCCCTACTATATATATATATTTTTTTTTTAGTTGCATTTCGTTGTTATCCTGGGAGAAGTGTACAGTGGGAACTTGAGTTTTGTTTGTATTTCGCTTTGTCTTCTATGTTGACACATTTTTCTTCCCTATTTTCTATTTTTTCTATTTTTTTCTCATCCAGTTTTCTTCAACTTTTACTGCAAAATGTATGCTAGTGTGTGGGTGGGCGAGCGTGTTTGTGTAAAACCGGAAATTACAAATGCAACAAGATGTTCTGCGTGAGTTCTGTTGGCATTGTCTCGGCGGTAGTGGCAGCGGCAAAATGCATTTGCAAAATGCAAAAATCCTAAGAAATTCCCAAGGAGTGTATAACCAGAAGCGGATTTATTTGTGTGGCTTAAAGTTTGTCGAATGGGAATTGTAGCTTTAATTGTTTTTCAAAAAAATAAAGGTTTTAGAAGGAGTGACTTTATACGCCTTGGTTTGTAGAATTTGATACCTGGTACTTCTAGCCAAGGTTTTAAGAAATAAGAGTCTAATACTCTCAAGAAAGGAAATAGAAAGAAGCCTATTTAGAAAACTTAAGGTTTACTTTTAGTAGAAACAGTAAGAAGACAGTAAGATACCCGGTACTTCTTCATTGGGTTCCAAGAGTCTTAAAAATGGATAATTTCTGTACAATTTTAATTATCCCCTAAAGTAGTAAAACAATAAGCTGAAACTCTTGGTTAAAAATAAAAAAAAAGTCTTAAGACTATATCTGATTCTTATCTAAGTATTTAATACCCGGTACTTCTTTCGATAAGAGTAAGGTCCTCAAATTTGATAATTTTTATTTTAATAATCTTTCAATAGAAGCATAAATAGATATAAAAAGAGAATAATTAAGTGAAAGGACTACAGCTGGTTCTTACTTAACAACGTGATACCCGATAGATCTTCTTTCAAATGCTAAGAGTCTTAAAAAATTATATATTTTATAATCTTTACTGTCTCCTAACGGAGCTTGATACTCTTTAAAAAAGGAAGATATAAGAATAAAGGAGGGAGCTAAAAAGGGCTATGAAAGGGCAATGTCTTAGGTTTTCTTAGCTTTATGATACCCGGTACTGACCATTTTCCATCTAAGAAATAAAAAAAGAGCTCCATAAAGATTATTAATAGTACAGTCTATGATAAAACCACTTTTAAGATAACTGAAGATTAAATTCTATCTAAATTAACAATAGTCCCACTATTCCAGTAACCACGACTTCATGCTTATCATATAGCTCCAACCACCCTCAATCATGCCCTCAATTAGAACAAGTCTCTCAAAGTTTTCTGCCAAAACATGATTTCTAGAACTTCAAAAAATTATCCCAAGCTAGCCTTGACTTCCAAATCAATACACAAAATTGTAATTCACCCCAGATTGTAGTATTTGGACTCGGGCCGTAACAAATTGAAAAGTTTTTCTATTTTTCTTCCTAATTTTTGTCATTTTTTTTGTCATCTTTCTCGACAAACAACCGCAAATATTTTGGTAGTGTGGCTCCCATCAGTGTCCTTAGATTTTGTCCTTTTTTTCTGGAGAATCCTCATCCCAACCGTACCAGCAGCCAGCCATGGAGGTGCACGCTCCGGTAAGTGACTGCGATCGCCTGGGGAAAAGCTCCCTGTCCGCCATGCTGGGCTACGCACAGTCAGAATACTCTTTGGGGACCAGCACCGGACCGATTATATCCCGGGAACAGGCCCATCATCCGGCCGAGTCGAGCGAAGCGGACGGTAATGCCACCGACGAGGAGGTTGAGATCTGCATCACGCGGTTGAACTTCTATCCGGATCATGCCAAGCGCCTCTACATGGACTGCCAGTTGTCCTTGCCGGCTGGCAGGATACAGATGCGAGGCGGAGCGGAGGCGATACTGCCGCCAGAAGCCGAGAGCGGTGACGATAGCCTGGACTGTTCGCCGGAGATGCGCTACGAACGGCTGAGGAGCACCGTGGTTGAACAGCAACGCCATTGGCGGCTCCTGAAACAGGCCTTCGAGTGTCCTCTGAGCCAGTGCCCGGCGAAGGTCACTGCCAGCGATTTGCTGAGCCACTGCCTGGTGGATCATCCGGAGATCATAACCCTAGAGCTGCGCGCCGAACGGCCCATATCCCTGAAGCTGCTGGGCCCGGCTCTGCCCGAGGCGCAGGCCAAGTCCCATTGCGTGGGACTCCTCATCTTCGACAGTCCTCGCCGGGTGGCCATGAACTGGAACCTGCCGCGTGTCTACTCGGACTGGGAGGGCCGTCCCCCGATTCTCATCATGCTGTGGAAGACCTCCTGGGACTCCAAGACGGTGACTCCTTTGGTCACCCACCTCTATATCCTGTGGCTGCTCTGCCCCCAGGCCCAGCCCGCCCTGATGGTCAACGTCCGGGTGAAGGATAGTCGCGAGTTCCGCAAACTGATCACCACCTGCCCGAATCCCCAGCTGCTGGAGGAGAGCGACCTCCTCAGCGACAGCCCGCTCTTTATGCGCTTCACCCATCCCGAGATGAAGGATCTGACCAAGAACTACTCGCAGGACATCCAGCTGGAGTTCACCATCAAGGAGAACGAGCAGGATGACGTCCTCGAGCAGGACTTGCCCGAAAGACAAGTCCTACGGCATAAGTTGGATCGCAAAAGGCATTGTTCTTCGCACTTTGATAACTTTGATATCGATATCGAGAAGAAGATGCCGATAGAAATCGATGGGAAATCGGAGGGAGGAAATTTATCGAATTCTAAGAGGAATCTTCTAGAGGAGACTACTAGTACTATTTCTAAAGAAAATATCAAAGAAACAAAATCCGAGGCCCTAATAACTTCAGAGAGACCCACATCTGAGGGTTCTTCTGAGGGTTCTTCTACTCTCCAACTATCCGATGACATCCGAAGCAAAGAAAGTCTCGATCTGGATCTGGGTCGGAATCTGGAGGATGAGAGACTACAACTGATACCAGTAGGGTCGCGAGGCAACATCGAAATAGCCGAAGCACCCGATGGCCATGTCTATTACTACTGATGCCCAAGAAAATACTAGACTTGGAGGGCTCTTTCAAGGATACTACTATTTACCTTCAGGAGACTGTTTTTACAAAACGAAACTAATGGAATTCAAAATTTGTGAAAAGTGAACGGATCTGAAACAAAATTCCATGTATTTTGCAAAAATTTTCAATTAAAATGATGATTTCTTGTAGTCTCTATGGTCTGAGCATAAAACGAGATGATATTTTTGGGTTTAAGGTTAAGGCTTTAGTTGCGAAAATTTGATAATTTCTTTGGATTTTCATAAACAAAAGCTGACACTGACAGTAAGCCGGGTTAAAAGTAGGGTGGCTGGGATGGACCTTAATTTAATTATTCTTCAACAAAAATGTTGTGGCAACTGGTAGGCGGCAACGCCCTAGACCCAGCATTATACTCTACTGTGTTTGCTTGGCCAAAAAATTGGGTTCAGTTTGGAAATTTTTCGCTTACGCCGCAGAGTATGCAACATGTTTGCCATTGGGGGGTGGAGGTGGAGGTGTCCAGGTCGTTGGCAGCCATTAGCACAAATGTCGTCTGGCAGGAGACTAACGGAGGGAGGGGACACGGTTGCAGGATAACAGCATCAACAACTTTTTAACCAACTTGCCAGCCCAGACTAACAAGACCGCAGAAATTGTGGGTCTGGGTGGGGCGCCAAACTAACTAACTCAATGCCGCCCCCCCCCTCTCCCTCTCTCTTGTCTGCCACTTGTAATGTACCGTTATTGTTGCAACAATAAGAGTGGATAGCTGAGGAGTGGAGTGGGTTGTGCCAACTTTGCTTTGTCCGCGAAATATATATTTTTCGCATTTTTTTCGGGTGGTCTTCTGTATTTTTTTTTGGCCAAAAGTTCAACTTCTGGTGCAGAGATTTTTCGGTCAGCGTTAATGCAGCGGAGCTAACCCTCTAAAAACCAACTTGCTGAACGCTTTATGTCCTCAACAGAGGCCAGGCACTGAGAGAAATTTTATAGAAGAGGGTAGGAGGTTGAATATAAAGAATATATATCCAGAGATATAAAGAATATTTAATAGAACAAAATATAATATCTTAAAATTGAACTCGATTTAATTTAAAATAGTTTTGAGAAATTTAATCATATCGTTATATAAAGTTCTACAATTGTTTTAAAACTATTTACTATTTTAAAAAAATATTCTAGTTTCTGTTTTGAACTTGAACATTTTTTCTGTTTTCTATTTAAGAAATAGATTATTTTTAATATATTTTGAAGTACTTTAAAACTATGTCTTATTAACAAATCTTAATAATTATTTGAAAAAATATTTTTAAGAAATAATAATAATAAATAAATAAAATAAATAAATAATAAATAATAATAACAAATAATAATATTAATAATTAATAGTAACTTAAACTAAAAATTAAATTTATAAAGTCGTCTTTTTATTTTTAATTCAAAAATGTAGACGCTTTTTCATTGCCGGACACTTACTTTTAATGTGCCCGTTTCTCTCACTTATCGATAATACCATAACGCTTAAACAGTTAATATGCTTAATACTAGATGGCACTTTAATACTAAATACTGCATTAAGGCCTTCTACTATAAATAGTACCTGTTTTAAGCTTTAAATTATTAATTTACCTAATAATAATTAAAAAATAATATTTTCTTATAACTATACACTTTTCAAAAAATATATATACTACATAAAGTCCATGTTTTTTTTGTGCAAAGTGCATCCTCGCGGTCAGTTTCATTGTGGTCTGCTCATCTGTGTCCGTGTCTGGCAAGTTTTCCGCCCCTCGCACGCTTTTCCACTTTTTCCATTTTCCCCTTACTAACCTCCCCTACCCCCCTCGAGCCGAAACTAAATAGTTGGAAACTTTTTTTTTTGTTGTGTGGAAGGACTATGGAAAGGGCCCGAAATAGAACAGAACTGGACAGGACAGGATGGGAAAGGACATGGACATGAACATGGACAGGACAGCACCAGGATAGGAGAGGACGCTACCGACCCCGAGTGGGATCCCAGCGGAAAAAGAATTGAATTGCATTTTTATAAAACTAAGACAATAAAGGTTGTTTTTTTCGTTTTTTTTCCAACTGCCTTTGTTCATGGACTATTTTTTGTTTTGTTAATTTTTTGTTGGCTCCTTGAGCGGCGAGTTAAGTGCTGTGGTTTGATGTTGATGTCTATGAAGCCAAAAAATCTCACCAAAAACCACAAAATAAGCGACAATTGAACATTTGATTGTTGAACCAAAAATGAAGAAAGTTTCAAGTCAATTACTGGAATAGTGTTTGCGGCAAAGGCCTCTGGTCTCTGGTCTTTTAATTAGTGAAGTAACAAGCCCGGCCTAACGCGCTTAACATTCTCCCATAATTGTTCAACAAATTGTCATTTTTTTTTTTCGCTCAACAATTAATCATGAAATTGCAATCAATTTATGTTTATTTGCATTCATTGTCTCTCTCTCTCTACGTTTCTTGTTTTACAATTTGCTGATTGTCTTTGTCGCATGTTTGTTTGTTTGTTTGTTTGTTTTTTTGTTTGTTGGTGATATTTGAACAGGCCAACTAACCAATTAAATAATGTAATTTCAATTTCCATTGGCAACCGGGCAACTGGCTGGCAAATAATTGCTTTAATTTATTTATTTATTTACTTTAGTTTTTTTTTTTGGTTTCATTTTCGGCTTCAAAAAGGTCTGGCCATGATTTAATTGTGCTGCGTAATTTTATTTAATTTTTAATTAGTGTTTTGAGAAGCCTAAAGCAAGGGAGGTATTTCTTTTATATTATTAGTCATTAGTTATGGACTTAGTTGTATTTTTTTTAAGAGATAACTATAGTAGAGTTAGGTAGGTAGAATTTTTATAGTAGACTTAAGGGTCTGGCTTCAGATAGATTTATTATCCCTGAAAATGGTAGTCCATGCAGACCACGAACTAACGTCAATAACTAACTAACTAATCAACTATAGTAACGCCAGGCTGTTGCTCTACATAGCCTAAAACTTTAAGAATAGTAGGTACAGCCACTTTCAAAGAACTTATACTCCATTTCTTGGTTTACTCTCAACGTTTTAATAGAAAAAAAAAGAGCAGAAATTTAAAAAAAATAAAATACTGGAATAATAATATCAATTTTTTGAAACCAAAGCTAAGCAATATTAATTAAATATTTAAACTAGGTATATGATACTCGGTACTTTGAAAGAATATTTAATTTACTTTATAAATACCATGTTTAATATTTTTGAATATGACTTTTTTTAAGATAAGATATATTCCTTCCATATCCTTTCATATATCATACCTATAACTCAAATCTGGATATTATTTTTGCTTAAAAAAAAAACTTTCTTGAAAAATATGTGCCTACATAGATAGATATACATACATATATTTATAAACATATGATACCCGGTACTCTGGATAAAAAAGCCAGCTCTTTAGCAGTAACTTTTAAAAAATCTCCTAATATTTATAATAATATTTAATTACTTAAGTATTAAAAAAAAAAAACTTCTCTCTTAAATGTAAGAAATTTTCAAGAAAAGAATTAAAAGAAGAGATTTTTTGAAAATCTGTAGTAATTTGTGGGTCATTTGCCCTGCCACGTTCTCTTTTTGGACCAATAAAGCCAAGCCGTTGCCGCCTTTGGAGTCTCCCACAGCCTGCGAGTACCTCCCTAGCCCCCCCAGAGCTTCCTACCCACCCGTCTCAGTGCCTCCACAGCCAGCCCCCCTCCTCCTTCCCTTTTGGCCCACTCATTTTAGTTGCATGAATTACGAGGTTAATTAGAAGTTTGACACGAGGCATGGGGCACTTGCAATATGTACATGGAATAAATATATATCCTGGAGAGGCAAGGAGAGGTGCAAGGAGGGGTAGGGGGGCTGGGGCAGTGGCAGGGAGGAGGTCCTGGAAACTGAAACTGAAACTGTAGCAGGAGCAGCTGTCGTTGCATTGCGAGGCACGTACACACGCCCAGACCCCCACACACACACACATGCACGCATGTCCTGCATAAATAATGCAAAAGTGTGAAAAGACACACACATACTCCTATGCACACACACACACACTCCCTCACACACCCACATCCCTCTCTTACAAAATGGAGTCACATTTGCTTGGCAGAAGGAAGAACTGCTTGGCAGCCGTTTTCAATATCAGCCTAGCAACTGGAAATGGAAAATGGAAAATGCTATCCACCCCCCCACCATCCATCCACCCTCTACCAGCCACGCCCCATCGCCCATTTGGCCAGCTTGCACTTGTTTATCATTTATTACTGCAGTCGGAAAATCTGTTTCTGTTTCTGTTCCAGGTCCTTTCTACATTTCACATTGTTTGCCTTTTGTACATTGCACTCGTCCTAGTCATAGTCCTAGATCCTTCTTGTGTTTTCCTAACATTTTTTCCATCCTCCAGCACTTTTCCTGCCATTTTATTCTATTTTTCTTTCTCGCATTTTTACACATTTTGTTGAAATTTGTTTAAATTGAAATGTGTGGCACACATCTGCAGCTATTCTTTCTTCACTTTTTTTTTTTGTCACTTTTAAAGGTGTTGAGAGATGGTAGATTTAGTTTGGATTTTATTAAGTGATTTCTGGGTGAAAAGTTGGTAGGGAAATCTTTAAATTTAGTGCTTAAATGTGAGAGGTTTTTGAAAGGGTGTTAATTTTCATTATCGGGTATTGTACGTAGGTTGAAATTTTAAGATCATAACCTATTTTGAAGTTCCAACCCTTCTTACTGGGAAGAATGATAAAAGATATAATTTAAATCCTTAAAAAAAATAATTTTCCCAATAAAACAGCGACAATCTGATGATCTTCAAAAACAGCAATATTTTGGAAATCTTTTTTAAGTCATATTTCTGAATATCTTTAACCTTAACTTGAAAAAAACAAGGTATATCTTTATTTTTTTGTCTCTAATCTATAATACCCCTTTAAATGATTTTTGGGTGTAAAGTTTGTGAGGAAATCTTAAAAACTCTTGAAAGCTTAAAAACGGATTCTTTAATGGTATCGTATTTACTATGTATTTTATTTTAAATTGGTATAATTTTCAAAAGGTAATATTTTTTATAGAAGTCTTAGGACTTGCCCTTCAACAACTTTTTAGTCTGAAGAACCAAAAAAATACTAAAATAATAGCATACCACAAGCCTCTTGAATTTTCCCATCAAAATTTCCCTTTGATTGTAG